CTTCAGCAATTGTTTTACCTTTCGTATCAGCACGAAAAGCATTATACATTGCTTCATCTTCTATTGTTGGTGGAATATATTTGAAATCTGGTTGATTACCATTTAATCTTTTTGGAAGAACAGATGGATCAATAAATTCAGATAATTCATCTGCACTATGTATAAAATGTACTTTTTTTTGTACAGTTGGATTTAGCCAAGTTTTAATAATTGTCCAACTTTTATCTAATACCCATGGAAAATTTACAATAAGAATAAGACCAAGTGAATCAGGATAATAATTATCAAGTAAATGAGAGTGTGGGTGTTATGATCATCTCCTACTTACACCCACAACACACCTACACCCATACCCACACCACTGTTAGACCTAGTTTATATTTAAATATAAGGACATCAAGTTCATTTTTCTTTTCGGCATAACTGGTCTTCTTTTATTTAACCAAATATATATTTAAACAAGAAAGAAAGAATAACACCAATCGCGATATAAAAAACGGGAATGCAGATGGTCTGTTTGAATTCCGTAACGATCTTCGTCCGTCTATCTTGACTATCGCTTTGTGGTTTGGTCACTGGGTCGCTTTGTGGCTCGGACACTGGATCGTCTTGTGGTTCAGTAACTGGATCGCTTTGTGGTTCGATCACTGGATCGCTTTCTAGTTCGGTCACTGAATTGTCTTGCGGTGCGGTCATTGAATCGTTATTGATGAATTTATCGGACATCTCTGATGAAATAAATGTTAGATTTGGTTGATCTTGACTAGCCACTTCATACAAGTATACGTCACGCTTTAGTTTGTTTAGATCATATCGACGTGATAACAAGTAAACTTTATCTTCTTTCACACGGTCTGTAAGAAACTGAAGAACATCATGAAGTCTCTGTAACATTTGGTTCTTGTCAGACTCTTCAATAAATCCCTTAACTAGAAAATATTGAATAGCCTTTATCTGTTCCCTAGAATCGGCTCCTTCCCATGTGCCAAATACAATAACATCAACTCCACCTTTGAAGAAATAACGAAAATATGAATAAATGACAGTGTTGATAGAGAATATAGAAAACAACAATAGACGGACTATACTCAAAATTCAAATCATTACTTATTTGATCTCTGATAAAAATGACAATTCTCATTTTGAATATAGTACTGCTTCAACATAACTCTAGATATTAAGCTAACTTCACTAATATAATTCGCATCTGACTACTACAGCTAGCTATATGTTGTTTTGTACAACCTGCTTGAAACACATTACACGAGGCCAACTATATCATAAGGTATTTCATTTATTTTATCTCCCTTTCCAGCCTGTCTTTAGGAGTTTGTTAAATGAAAATACAGAACGACACACTACATATATTTTCTACCAATATTCAATTTTTATGACGACTTTCGTAGGAAACAGGAATTTCGTCGTACTGACGACTTTCGCAATAGCCGTTCAAAAGCATTCAATTGCTTTAAATACAGTTTATATACTAACTGAAATGATTAATACGTATACGCAGCATCGGTTGAGAGTGAGGACCAGAGATCATCGGCACAGCGTGACTTTTCCGCACTTCACGGCGTAGTCCTGTCAGTACGCGGTAGTTCAAAGAATTGTCTACGCTGCGCAGTGCGGTATGCTGTCATTCAAAAAAAGTTATAAATCTTCTTCAAGACATCGTATAGCTACTTGCTCTTTATACATTTATATCCCATGCACATGAGTAATCATAACAAGAAAAAAATAGAAATATCTTCTTTTGAAGATAGTGATGTGCAACGAAACAATTAGAGATAACATGGAACGCTATAAATATCATTCTACATTTTTTGCTTGTAAAAGATAATATTAAAAATACAAATAACAATAGGTATCTACGGGTTGCCACTAGTCATATGTTCACACGATCAAATAAAAAGAATATTGTCTACCTGACTTAGTCTGAGACTTGTTCTTTTCTTTAAATAACTATATCAATACTCCTTTTATTCAAACGAAAGAGTGTAATATCTCTCTAATTTACTAAGTGTCTCTAAAACGGCTAGTAATGTTATAAAATTTTGTACACTGCACTGGGCGGAACACGAACATTTATAAAATCTCACATTGTGCTGTGCAACGCGACCGCGTGCGACTGTACAGGAGCGCTTGCGTCGGTCTCTGGCGGGGACTGACGTCAGTCTAAAATAAGTCAATATACTTCCGATTACTGTTAGAAGTCTACGGTGAAGTTTATGCTACCCATTCGTTTTAGATCAAGATCATGTACTTACTAAGAAATGTTTGCAACCAAGGTTGATCGAGATAATTACTGTTCATAGTGTCACGTTTGCTACATTTGAGTTCAATAGCATGTTCATTTTCTACGACTGCATCAGTTTCACCTGATATTAATGTTCTTAAATTGCCTATATTTCCTTCAATTAATTGGTAGTAAGACGCTTCGATGTTATAATCAGGCATACACAGTCGTTCAAATCGATGACCAACATCATTCATAGTATCGGGTCGTTCGTCATGTCGTCTGAGAAATACCGTGTTACCAATTTTCTGCACACTTATGACATAATCTTCTTTATTCATAGCAATTTTTCGGAATGAATATCTTTCACTTATAATATGGTAGTCTTGAATATTCACCTTATTATGACGAGCACTAATTAGAAGGGGAAGAATTGAAACGTAAGAAGGCTGACGGATGACAAGATTTGTAAGTATAGGTGGAAATTCTTCATCACGATAAGGTTCTCGATAACACGGGGCTTTAGCATGTACCATGGTACACTTCTCATATGCTTCGATATTTGTGGGATTATGAGGATGATCCCATTTGAGGTTAAATGAGCCACGAAACTTAGCGAAATATGTCTCAAACGATGCCTTTACACCCGAAACATTTGAGTTTTCATTGCCATCAATGGGAACTTCGCGAGGTATATCACAACGTTCAAATGTTAGGTCGTTGATAGGCCGACTGCTCATATTTGTTGTAAGCTAAAAGGTAAATAGAAACGGAAGATGAATCATTTAGTTGAACGTATGGCGATACTGAAGTGCTGTGATTGTCTGTTGCTGGAGAACTCTTTATTACATCACACTATGAAATTGATTTAAGATCTACTTATTTATGAAATTCTTTGAGTGATGCTATGAATAGATTTTGTATATCTAGTACAACTAATCTTTTGTTAATTAAAATTCATTCGACATTACTGAGTTTTAATGCAATAGAAAATTATTTATACCAGAGTTCTGTCGGATATCTATTAAATCTTATCAAATAAACGGATGATCTACAATTGTCAAGAATAAGAGATATAAACCCTTTGATAAAAAGCAAAGACAAGAACCCTCTTTTGATTTATGCGAAAAAATCAGAATATAGTAGGGGTGGCACTTTAACTTTATTTTATCTTGAGAAAATAAAGTAAAGTAAAGTAGATATAGTAAGGGTGTGGGCGTGGGTTAGAGATAAACACTCACAATCACACCATGAGTTTTTGTATTTCTAGATTTTTTATTTTCAAGATTCTGCAACATACTCTCTGACACGGCTCAACTACGATTGAAACCGGCTTTTCCTGATCGTAGGAAGTGACCTAAAATTGGCCTCAGAGTGGGTGTGGGTGTGGTTGTAGGTATAGATATTATATGTCTTCATTGTTCTAGCCTACACCCCACCTAATGACCCTTTGATTTTTCATCCCGTTCATCAAGGTCTGTGAGGTACGAGGGGGGGACCGCAAAACGTCTTCTTAAAACTTACACTTATTATTTTCTTTCAAAATATATATGACTCCCAAAAAAATAAGTCTAGGCATGTTCATCATAAGCTCGAAGATAATCAAAACCGCAGTATATAGTGGCGTAGCCAGAGGAGAGCTCGGATGGCTTTGCTCCATACAAACGTTCCAGTCCCTCCCTAGTGAACTTCGAAACTACCTTAGAAAAATGTCAGCCCGCCCCTCTACAGGGATCTTAAAAGTCGTTAAGTCTCCCCTTCCAGTTTTTCTGGTTACGTCACTAACAGTATGTCTAAATGTCCGTCACAGCCTATGAAGATATAAAACTCTTTCAGACATGTCTATTAACGTCTGTCAGGTGCGCTGAAGAGAAGCAGATTCGTTTCTCGTAGTATATACTTCAACACTCATTATCAATTGTTTTTCACATTGTTATTACCTGTATCTCACTCTCATCATCCTTTATAATTTTGTCATAATATATTTTGAATAGTGGTTCAAACCCTGATATTTCTCCGTCGTCAAAGTTTGAATTCGTCCATTTGTTGAAATCGGTCATTGTTGGACTTTCGTTTTTTTGATTAAAGTAATCCTGAAACTGATTGTAATATTGTTTTTCAACTATGAGATCTGCACTACGTGAACAAAGTCGACGAAGAAGTTCAGCCGTTGGAAGATTATAATCGAGAGCACGACGTTTAATTTTTTCAAGGAGCAGATTTATGATCTTTGATGAATCAGTAAGACCAGTTTTATCAAGATGGGAGAGTCTGTCGAACAAACCATCCTTAAAGTATTGATCCGGTGATTCTTTCAAATCGCTCAGAAGCATAAGAACATCATCAATAACAGCATACAGAAATCGAGCAATTACATAATTCTTAATTCCCATTGCATTATGGCTGCTGTTCGTTGCTTGCATGATTTCGTCTTCCATTTCTAATGATCAAATGTAGTTTTGAATATCGTCCTAGTTGGCAAAGCAAATAAAGTAATCTTGAAGGTGAGGGCGGGGCGTAGGAAGTGCCCCAAAATTGGCGTCAGCTAAAATGGAGTCCATCAGTTCATACGTTACGTAACTTTTAAATAGGGTGTGGGTGTGGATCTGAGTCTTATACCCACACCCATACCCTTTTGCAAAGTTTTAGTTGTGGTTATTTATTATAATTATGGAATTATTCCTTTCACTATTACGTTACGAGATGTAATCAAAAGATTATTATTTTCACACTCATCCTTGTGGTAAATTCTAAACTCTGTAAGGTACTTAATGTTGTGAAGAAGATTATTCTATTGATACTGACACTAAGGTATATGAGGATGAGACTGTTTTACTCACCCTTACTATCACGACTAGTTGAAAACTCTACTGAATCGATAAGTACTCGAATTTATCATTGGTCTTTATATCTATCCACCAAAAAACAAAAAATAACACCACGCTTACTACTTACTATTGTTGAGTTATAAAATAATTTTCTTCTCTTCGTACGAGAGTGACAATAATTTTTTCTGAAAAAGAAAATATAGCAACGGAGAAAAAATTTCCTTTTGATATCGAGAATATAAGAACGATGATAGGCAACTTTTTTTCCGAGAAAGAGTCTGCGGACGAGAATAAATAAATTATTTTTTCTGAAAAAGAAAATGTAGCAACGAAGAAAAAATATTCCTTTTGATATCGAGAATGTAAGAACGATGATAGACAAGTTTTTTTTGCGTAAAAGTTTAAAGAAAAAACAAATACTTTTTTTTCAGGAAAGAGAACATAGGAATGAGAGCAAGAAAAATACATGTGGCAATGAGAATGCAGGAATAATGATGGACATGTTTTTTTCCGGGAAAAAAGTATAGTAACACAGACAAAAAACAGTTTTTTCAGAAAGTAGAATGTAGAAATGAGTAAGTTGTGTTCGCAGAAAAATGCCTGCATGTTTGCTCACTTCCTGCAACCAAAAACACAAGGAATCTTTGCAAGTTCTTTGTCAAATTCTCAAGGATATAGAATGAAAATACCAACGAGGTGTCATGAGGGATGTACCATATCCCGCAACCGAGAGGAACTGTTCCGCTTCAAAGAGAAATCCTTTACCCTCACAAAGTCAACTGCATATAATTTTCCGATCGAAGTCGAAACAATTCGAAGTCCAAACGTTGATCCATAACACCGCTTATAGGGAGATATAAAAAAATATAAAGAGATATCAATCATTTTTATTTTTTCACTATAAGAGGATATTCTACCCGAGATTGTTTTTTACCAGCGGCAATGAATTAATTATAATACGAAATGATTCATACATACCTCCACTCACATAGAGAAATGAAAGAAACAAAAAGAGATACCAATCAGTTTTATTTTTTCATTGTAAGAGGATATTCTAGCAGAGATTGTTTTTTTACCAGCAGCAATGAATTAATTATAATACGAAATGATTCATCCATATCTTCACTCGTATAGAGAAATGGAAGATATATAAAGAGATATAGATTATTTTATTTTTTCACTGTAAGAGGATATTCTAGGAGATATAGTTTTTCATCAGCAGAAATGAATAAATAATAATACAATAATGGTTCATTCATATCTTCAATCGTGTGTGGGTGTGAGTGTGGGTATGCGTGTGAGTATATGTGTGAAATGAAAAGAACACTCACACCCACTCGCACCCACACTCTATCAATAAAACCAATCAGAACAATATGTAACATTTATAAAGTCATTTTTTTCATCTTAAGGTAGTGTCTTTGTTCCTACTACCTACATACGAATTTTTGCAATCAAAATCGAAACAAAATATGTTTCTACACACTTTAGACTATGCCCTATAAAATAGTGATAATGAGTTCTCGAAGTAATGAATTCAAACTATCGACCTTGAAGGTGACGCGTTACGCGTTTAAGCCGATATATATATAAGTCGTATGTGACATCTATGCGATAAGAGAATACAGAAAGGAAAAATATATGAAAAATAGGTGAACTACATTATAAGATAGATATGTCAGAACATGTATCTAATTATGTTAGATGTCGAACATAACAAATTCTAATAATAAAACATAATATTCAATCCGATAATGAGTGAGATTGAGCCTCAAGGACTGAACACAAAATGACCTTCAAGCCTCGTCAGCCTCTAGGCTCCGTAGCCACTCCATATATATATATAACAAACAACAAAAGAAAAGCACTAAAGAAATAACGGAAGGGCATATGTCCTTAATACATATCGTAATAATCTTCATCCATCGATCTTTACTATCGCTTTGTAGTTCGATCACTGGATCACTTTGTGGTTCGGTCATTGAATGCTTATTGATGAATTCATCGAACATCTCTGGTGAAATAAATATCAATTTTGGTAGATCTTGATTAGCCACTTCATACAAGTATACGCCACGCTTTTGTTTTTTCCGATCATACCGACTTGATAATAAATAAACTTTATCTTTTTTCACATGATCTTTAAGAAACTGAAGAACTTGGCGAAGTCTCTGTAATATTCGATTCTTTTCAGGCTCTCCAATCAGGTCCATAGATAGAAAATATTTAATATAATCTAATTGTGGGTCAGTATCGTTTCTTGACCGTTTGCCAAATACAATAACATCAACTCCACCTTTGAAGAAATAACGAAAATATGAATAAATGACAGTGTTGACAGAGAATATAAAAAACAACAACAAATGGATCATACTTGAAACTTCAATCATTAATTATTTGATTTCTGATAAAAATGACAATTCTCATTTTGAATATAGTACTGCTTCAATATAACTCTAGATATACAGCAAACTTCACTAGTATACTTCTCATCTGACTACTACAGCTAGCTATATATTGTTTTGTACAACCTGCTTGAAACACATTAAACGAGATTAAATATGTCATAAGATATTTCATGTATTGTACCTTCCTTTTAAGCCTGTCTTTAGGAGTCTATTAAATCGAAATATAGGACGGCACGAGACATATATTTTCTATCCATATTCAGTTTTTACGAAGATTTTTGCAGGAAACAGGAATTTTGTCGTACTGACTTTCGCAATAGCCTTTCAAAAGCATTCAGTTGCTTTAAATACAGTTTATATACAAACGAAATGATTAACACGTACACGCAGCATCAGTTGAGAGTGAGGACCAGAGATCGATACAGCGTGATTTTTTTCACGCTTCGTGGCGTGATGTACTTTCTTTTAACGTGGTTCTGTTCGAAACGAGATACTTCAAAGAATTTTCTTTGCTGCACGATGCGGTATGTCGTCGTTCGAAAAACGTTATAAATCGTCTTCAAGACATCGTATGACTACTTGTTCTTTATACATTTATATCCCATGCACATGAGTAATTACAACGAAAAAAAAACAGAATTATCTTCTTTCGAAGATGGTGCTGTGCAACGACACAATTACAGAAAACATAGAACGCTATAAATGTCATTCTATATTTTTACTTGTAAAAGGCAAAACTAAACATACAAAACATAATAAGTATCTACGGGTTACCACTCGTCATTTGCTCACACGATCGAATAAAAAGAATATTGCCTACCTGACTTAGTTTGAGACTTGTTCCTCTTTTTTAATAACTATATCAATACTCCTATTATTCAAACGAAAGACTGTAATATCTTTCTAATTTACTAAATGTCTCTTAAACGGCTGGTAATGTTACAAAATTTTGTACACTACACTACGCGGAACGCGGACATTTAAAAATTTTTGTAAGCGGTCCTGCACCTTGGGCGGTCGATCATTGCGATGTGTGGTTCTTTTGAAAAAATCTTACGCTGTGTTGCGCGATGCGACCGTACAGGAACGCTTGTGTCTATTCCTGATGAGGACTTACGTCAGTCTAAAATGAGAAAATACGCTTCCGATTACTGTTAGATGTCTATAGCGAAGTTTATGCTATTTATTCGTTTTAGATCAAGATTATGTACTTACTAAGAAATGTTTGCAACCAATGTTGATCGAGATATTTCCAGTAAATATCGTCATATTCGCTACATTTCAGCTCAATAGGATGTTCATTTTCTAAAATTGCATCAGTTTCACCTGATATTAGTGTTCTTAAATTGTCTACATTTCCTTCAATTAATTGGTAGTAAAAAGCGTTGATGTTATAACCAGGCTTACACAGTTGTTCAAATCGATGACCAACATCATTCATAGTATCGGGTCGTTCGTCATGTCGTCTAAGAAATACCGTGTTACCAAATTTCTGTACACTTATGACATAGTCTTCATTATTCATAGTAATTTTTCGGAATGAATTTCTTTCACTTATAATATCGTATTTTTGAATATCCACTTTATAATGACGAGCACTAATCAGAAGGGGAAGAATTGAAACATAAGAAGGCTGACGGATAACAACATTTTGAGTTTCCGGTGGAAGTGCTTCATTACCTTTAGGTCTCCAATAATAAGGGATTATACCAGGTACTGTGGTACACTCCTCATATGCTTTGATATTTGTGGGATCATGAGGATGATCCCATTTGAGATTAAATGAGCCGCGACACTTAGCCAAATAAGCGTTAGACAATTTATCTACACCCACAATATTTGAATCTTGAATATCATCAACGACAACTTCGCTAAGTATATGACAACGTGCAAATGTTTCGTCGTCGATAAGCAGACTGCTCATATTTGTTGTAAACTAAAAGATAAATATAAACAGAAGATGAATAATTTAGTTAAACATGTGCTGATACTAAAGTGCTGGGATTGTCTATTGTTGGAAAACTCTTTATTACATCAAACTACAAAACTGATTTAAGATTTACTTATTTATGAAATTTTTTAAGTGATGCTATGAATAGATTTAGTATTGTAATAATATTTTCTAGAGTTGCTCAGGGTGTGAGTGAGGATGAGGGTGTGGGGTGAGTGTTGGTATTAGATCAATTATATATCCATACACTCGAATACTATGCAAATTTTTGCATAATTTCATCTGTGTTTTATCGTTGCAGAGAAATTGATCATAATTGATAGAGTTAGTGCGGTAAAGTCCTGCTATATTTTATATTAAGCTAGTGCTTGATTTTACTGAATAAATATCATGTTGGAAAAGTTTGAAAGCATAAGTCTTTAGTCGATGACAGACATAATCGAGATTTAATGAGTGAGAAAAATAACGTGCGCGAGAGAAAGAAGAAAAAATACTTTTTGTATAGTATAGTGATTAAGAGCGTCTACATACCACTCAATGATTCACTGATTCAACTGCTCGAGTATTTCACTTTTCATATATTTAACGAAGTATTCATCTGTTCAACCTTTCTGTTACTATTTTGCTCAACGGAGACTTTAACCATCGAAGTATTCGATGAACTAACTTTTCGACTTTTCTGTCGATCACATTACTTAGTGCGGTGAAGTAGATTGCTTCTTCTATACTGACGCTGAGGTATATGATGAGGAGAATATTGTGCTCACCCTTACTATCACAGCTAGCTGAAAACTCTATTGAATCGATAAGTACTCGATTTCATCTTCGCTCTTTACATTTATCCGCCAAAAGACAAAAAAATAACATCATGTCTACTATTTACTATCGAGTTATAAAATAATTTTCTTCTCTTCCTACGAGAATGACAATAATTTTTTCTGAAAAAGAAAATGTAGCAACGAAGAAAAAATATTCCTTCTGATACTGAGAATATAAGAACGATGATAGGCAACTTTTTTTTCCGAGAAAGAGTCTGCGGACGAGAATAAATAAGTTTTTTTCTTAAAAGAAAAATGTGACGATGAGAGTAAAGAATATTCCTTCTAATATTGAGAATGTAAGAACGATGATAGACAAGTTTTTTTGCGTAAAAGACTGAAGAAAAGAGAAATACTTTTTTTTCAGGAAGGAGAATGCAGAAATGAGAGCAAGAAAAATACGTCTGTCTACGAGAATACAGGAATGATGATGGACATGTTTTTTTCCGAGAAAGAGCCTGTGAGGATGGGAATAAATAAGTTTTTTTTCTAGAAGGAAAATGCAGAAATGAGTACAAAAAAATTCTGCCAACAAGAAAAATATAATTATGATGATGCATAAATTTTTTCAGAAAATAAAGTGTAACCAGATAAAACAAAAAACAGTTTTTTCATGAGGTAAAATGTAGGAATGAGTAAGTTGTGTTCGCAGAAAAATGCCTGCATATTTTACTCACTTCCTGCAACCAAAAACACAAGGAATCTTTGCAGGTTCTTTGTCAAATTCTCAAGGATATAAAATGGAAATACTATCGAGGTGTCATGAGGGATGGACCATATCCCGCAACCGAGAGAAACTGTTCCGCTTCAAGGAGAAATTCTTTACTCTCACAAAGTCAACTGCATATAATTTTTCGATCGAAGTCGAAACAATTCGAAGCCCAAACGTTGATCCATATCGCCGCTTATAGGGAGATATAAAAAAATATGAAGAGATATTGATCATCTTTATTTTTCATTCTATGAGGATATTCTAGCCGAGATTGTTTTTTTATCAGCAGCAATGAATTAATTATAATACGAAATGATTCATACATATCTCCACTCATAGAAAAATGGAAGAAACAAAACGAGATCAATTATTTTTATTTTTTCATTGTAAGAGGATATTCTAGCCGAGATTGTTTTTTTACTAGCGGCAATGAATTAATTATAGTGTAAAATGATATATACAGGCCCCGACATCAAGGGGTTGGTGACTTTTCAATCAATAATTTATCGTCTCGATTAAATATTCTGTTCGAAAAGATAACTGAACACCAAAAATACTAGAGTCACTAGTCGCTCTTGTGAACTCTCGAATATTAATTAACATTGATTCTTCTCTTGACACATGCTCGTTTGCACGCGCCATTTACCGTCGAACTGACTCATCTTGAGGATGTGGGTGTCGATACATAATATAACTCACTGGCACGCTCACCACATCCCTTAATTGTGTGGGTCTGGCAATCGGTAAAAATGGATTTATTTATGTTTGTTTGTGATTGTAAGAATGATGAAGTAAGACATTGAAAACAAGGAGATAACAAAGGTGAATTAGTTGTAGGTGGAAATGGTAAAGGAAATCAATCAAATCAATTGACTTGTCCTGCAACTTTATCATTTGATAATGAAGAAAATCGTTATGTTGTTGATAATGGAAATGATCGAATCCAAAAATATGAAAAAATTTTAAATTAAAAATACTTTTAATTTAATTTGATAAAATTTCGATTTTTATTTTTAAAAATAAATAAAAAACATTAATTTATCAAAAATCTTAAACAAAAATTAATAAAAATGAATTAAAAATTTTCTCTGAATAAAATAATTCAGATAGAATTTTTCTTGAATGAATCCAATTCAAAGAATTTGAAAGAAAATTCAATTAGAAAAAATTTTATTTTTTTTTAGAAAAATCAAACAAAATATTTTTCAAATTGAGAGAAAGGAATGAGAGAAGAAAAAAGATAACTGAATAAGGGTGAAATCTGTCAAAATCAAAAAATTAGATTAAGAAAATCTATTTTTTTTAAAAAGAAAAAATTCTTTTTACATTTAAATATTCAAAATAAAATAAAATAATTCATTAAAATAAAAATAAATAAAAGATTAAATTTGCTTTATTTTATTAAAGAATCAAACTTGAAGAGAAAAAATAAATTCCATATTTTAATTGTTTAGTAAACAATTTCTCATTTATTTAAATAATTTTAGAAGAGAAATTTTCAAATTCTTTTCGAAAGATTTTATTAACCCTTTCGATACCATGGCTCAGCCAATGGATGAAACTTTGTTGGGACTTTATATTTAACATGTATATTGTATGTTGTGAATATTTTCATCGAAACTTTTTAAAAAACTTTCGAAGTCATTTTCGATCAATATCTGTATCCCCCTATCGGTATGCTGGTACTTAAAGGGTTATTAAAATGATAAATACCGCGCGAATACAAGCATCTACATATCCTCTATGCCACAATGGCAAGTGCACTTCGATATTGTTTCGCATTCGTAATTTATTTAGATTTTGTCAAATTCTAAAAAAGCGTGCCTTATAGGGCCCGCTGGTACCGAAAGGGTTAAGTTGTTTTTTGATTTCTCCGCTTGGGAAAGAAAAAGATTTGTAATTAATAAAAATTTTTGATTTAATCTTAAAATGTTTGAGTTTGTTTGTAAAATCTAAATAAAAGAAAAGTTAGTAAAATAAAGTGAAGCTTCTGAACTCTTAATATGATTGCATTATAGTGGAAAAAAAGTTATCTTTTTCATTCATGAAGATACAGTATATTCCTTGGAAGGGATATTCGGTCTTAGCGACATGAAGTTCTCCTTTCTTCTTGATCGAAGGTGTGGCTGCGGATTTGAGTAATGAATGAGACGAATACACCCACACCTTGTGATGGACTTGAAGATGGGGAATCGAATGATATCAGTTGTAAAGGTTCTCGTCGGAATCTCTAAGTAAAAGTGAATAAATTGCTCACTAATTTACTTTTTTTACTTGTTCTGTGCTGGTGCGTTCGCTTTAGAGAAATGCGCATAGAGCGAACGCTTTTAATTTTGAACTTTCCACTGCTTATTACTCTAGTATTTTAGCAGCTACCAACCATTCTTTAAATTAGATTATGCAGACTTTGATACTCTTTCCCGTGAAATAAAAGTAAAGTTCTATGATGTAAAATGACAACGTTGTGAGAGTCACAATAGATACCTATACAAAATACATTCGCTCAAGGACGACTAGCAATACATTTTGTCTTTTTTTGTCGTTCTCTCTCTTCTTATCAGTTTTTATATGATGCAACAAGAGTATAATCAACATTACTCTTTTTTGTAATGCATATAATAATTTGTGTTTGTGGTATGAGTAAAATTAAAGTATTTACATTTTATATTCTTCTCTTTTTCTTTTTATTAATCTTGTTCTAGAGACATATCACCTAATTTATTTAAAACGTTATTTTGTATATCTTCTTGTTGTATGTTATGAAGATTGGAAGTATTACCAGATGTTGACCATAATGGAATAATTGTCTCATACTTTCCACATGCAAGACAAAATCCTTCCCAGTTGATCGAACTAACAGGTGTATGACAATCTGAGCATTTTCTGTCAGCAGTTTCAGTTGCACCATTCCACCATTGATAATTAGGTGTTTGTTTATATTGATTTATTGCTTGCTCTCGTGCTTGTTTAATTTCAAGATGTTGACATCGAAATTCAAGTGGATATTGTTTAATTGGAATTTGATCAATTAATTGTTGACGACGATCTATATCTCTGTCGATGTTAGAATATTTTCGTATAGTTACATGAAGGTCCTTGAGTTCTGTTAAACTCCATTCATTACCCTTTGATTCTGCTTGTTTTTTTATTTCAATAAGTAATGGTTGAATTTTTTCATAAAATGTTTTTATTTCAGTAGATACATCAATTGGTAACACGATAAAATCGATATTTGCACGTCCTCTGGCACGATTGGCACCTGGACAAATCGTAAGTTTTGATGCCCGAAATACAATATCAGGAATATTAGGTAAATCTTTGACAGGATTAACGAATTTGAGAAACTTAGCTTCGAGATCTTCAGGTGTTAAAGAAGAAGTAGTAAATTTGGCAAGTGTTATGTGAAAATAACCATCCCAAATATCAGGAAGTGTATAACCAAAACCATTTGTTGGTGCTAGTAAACCAAAACAATGATTGAAAGCACCTAAACCTTTGAACTCTCTTTGTGCTTGTCCAATTGTTGCTTTGATACCCAGTTCAACTGGACTCAATAGTAGATTCACAGCATAAGCTCTTGTTTCATCATCAGTCGGTTTTGATTGGTGTGTTGAGAAATCATCACGTCTTCTCCATCGGCTATTATTAGTACTCGCAGAATTACGCTCTCGCGATTCTTGATTGTTGTAATTATAGGTTGGATGAGAGTTATATGGACGTCCTGTTCCAGAATGACCTCCTCTATACGAGGTAGTACGATTTTGTCCCGATCCTGGCCGTGATTCCGCACCATTGGTGTTTCGATTCCATGGATTTGAGGACATATATGTATTTGCTACAATGTAAGTAGATATAAATAAAAGAGAAAAATAGCTGTTGACTGAATAATTATTTATCAATAAATAATTAATTCAAGGAAATTCGATTGAAAATCGAGGATATTTTGTCAAGAATTTACTAAGAGATTAGCATTTATAATTGATTCTTACATGATTTGTATAAGAATTTTATTAATATCAAATATTCTATCATTACATAGACACGGCTAGTATTTATTTGAGGAATAAAACTATTTGAATGAGTAATAATTAAAATACGAATTAGTAATAATCTTTGAGCAGTTTTAAATTATGAAATGTGTAATAACTAATCCATTAAATAGCAATATTAATCTCATATTTTAGTAATAAGAAAAAGGGTGTGGGAATGGCGAAGTGAACACTCGCACGCACCCACCCACCCTACTTCACTTCTTTTAAGCTCGGTTCGGTTAGGTTTGGTTTGAACTTGTTAAAAAACTAGATCGATTCCGTTCCAAAAAAAACACGATCCGATCCCACCGCTTGTATATATATACATAAACAGGATGAAAAAAAATTCAAAAATAATGAGGAAAAAACAAGGAAAAAGAAAAGTATTTGAACGAGTCAGCGTTTGAAAAATACCTCAGATGAGAAGGAAAAAAAACGATATATATGTGGAGATCCTAGATTAGACATCTGTACGATACAATCAAAAGAAAGAAAAGAAAATATCCAACACAGACAAATGATACTGTAACACCTGGATTTATATTGCGCTCTATACATACAATTTATTGTTAATTTAATAAATTATTGCTCATTTAATATAATTATTGCTCACTCAGTATTATTGTTGCTCACTTACTATTATTATTGCTCATTTAAATTATTTTATTTCTCATTTAAATATTAGTAGATAAAAATAAAGTAAAACTACCATTCCCTTGTAGACATGCTCTTCTTAGTAAGGTTGCGTCGAAGGTATACTTACAAATCAGCTACGCTCGTCTCACAATTCCAATCCAAAAATTACTCAGTTGTACTCTCAAATAGTATAGTATCACTAATATTTAATTACACAAATGTATTATCAGATAAAATAGTTCTCGTAGTATGTAGAGAGACGAAAAAAAGATAGAAAAATCAATTATCTGTATTAGTTTTTATTTTTTTATTATTTTATCATTAATAATACTCTTTTTCTTTCCTGAAATTAAATACTAATGTAAGTAATATATCAATATCTTTGCTAAGTAGTTTTTCTAATGACTACTATTGTTATAACAATTATCAGTCTATTAGACACAACCAAAAGTAAACTCAGATCTACTAAAAATTAGAGTGAAGCAAATACTTACGAGATATAATATTCACTGTTTCTATTAATAGTTGTTGTTAATATCTATAAACAATGGATAATGAAATATCAGTATATCTAAACATATTTTTATGTATAGAAATGATAAAAGTGTGAATCTAATAGAAGAACCATACATGTAATTGATAGATACTACGAATAAATTATAATCCAACTGTACTAAGAAGAAAATATTAGTAACGCAGTTATAGTTTTTATTGTCTTTTTACTAGTATCAAAATATCTAATCTTACTACAACATTTATACAAATCATACAAGAATAGGTAATAATTGCTACTCTTTTGATGATTTTTGACGAAGTATTTTTGGATAAATAATTATTTGATTAATAGCTCCCTATTAGAATAAAATATTATATGCAATGTCTTTATATACTGCGTCTTGTCTCTTTTCCTCAGTAAAATAGAAAAGAAAATGTAAATTTATGCTACTGTACTATGGCAACAACACTCGAGATTTTGACCAACTAACAATCGTCAACATTATATATTTAATGCGTCAAAGTTTGATTAACATTTTTGTTTGGGTTTATTAGGGCAATATAAAATATGACGAGAGATACACACAAGCAAGTCTACTATTTTTATTTTCGACATTTAGGTTTCTTATGTTTGCATTTCATAATGTATATTCTTTTTTTTCTTCTCTTTATTTCTTGGGAGATTTCATTTTTTTTTCATCTTATCAATGTCTTGCTTAAAATTACAACAATTGTATCCTTACATACTTCTTTTCTCTTCGATTTTTAATTCATTTTTTTCTCTAAAGGACCAGCACACTGAAAAGCTGTGGTGTCTGCTTTCTTTACTCTCTTGTACGGTGGAAAAAATTTTTTATTTATTCAAGGAAAAAACAATACTTGGTAGAATTTCTAATAGTTTTTTCGCTTTTATTAAAAGCAAAAAGCTTCACAATAAGAGAAGAAAATGATGAGTGAATAAGATGTTTTTTCATTCTTCTTCGATAACAGTCATTTTAACTAGTTAAATGTAAAATTTTTATCAGATTACTCAACAACATAAAAGCAAAAAAAAACCTTCACAGTAAGAGAAGAAAAACGATAAGTGAATATGTCGTTTTTTCATTCTTATCTGATAACAGTCGTTTTAACGAGTCAAATCTAAAATTTTTATCAGGTTACTCAATAAGATGAAACTGAATAAAAAAGAAATTATTAGGGAATAAAATACAATCATTTGATGTATTTATGATTATAAAAACAGAAATGAATTTCTCGTTTGATGACAGATTTTAATGTGATTTTTGTATAAGGTCAATGTTTGCGAAAAACATAAAAATAGGCAATGAATTCTTTTTTATGACAAATACGTGGCAGAAAGAAAAAAAATAACGAAAGTAGTAAAATTTTGATTGTGCTATTAATACAACTTTAATTCTTTTATTAAAAAACACGTATGAATGATTTACAGTACTAGTATCTATATCTTTTAGTTGTTTGTAAATTTGTAACTACTGCAGTTGCATCAAAATAAATTTGATGTTTCTTTTTATTTATTTCAAATTTATATATATATATTTATTTTTAGATTTGTTATATTATAATAAAACTATCATCTGTTTAACTTTTAATATTTAGTTTATTGATTAATTATTGAAATTATGGCGTATGATAAGAAACATGGTAATTATTCAAGATACAATAATAATAATAATAATAATTCATATAACAATCGTAATTCGAGAACTTCTTTGAATGATGATGAATATCGTTTAGTTAACCAAGGAAAAGATGATCTTTTTAATAAAAAGAAAACTTTTTCACCCATAACTTCACTTAAAGATCATTCACTTTTATTACAAGAAAATCTTTTTATAGCTGATAAATGGAATATTGAAGAATTATTACAATTGAAAGAAAAACTTAATAATACTCGTAATCGTTTAAATGAAAAAGATATTAAAGTATGGAAACAACATACACAAAAAACAAACATGACAGGTAGAATTGTTTGGCCATTACGTGAGAAAAATCATATCGAAATGTGTACAAATGCATGGATTAAAATGACTGAAATATTTTCGAAATATGAAAATCTTATTCCGAAAGGTAAATATCGTTTCAAGACGAGAAATGACAATGTACTTATTATATTAATTAGCATCATCATTATTTATTCTCGATATTTGCATTGATGTTTGATGTTTTATTTATTTTAAGATTTTTTTTATATATGATACAATTAATATTTGTATATTTATAGATTTACCTGATAATCAACCATTTCGCAGTGTACATATATGTGAAGCACCAGGCGCTTTTATATGTGCAACTAATTTCTATTTTGATAAATATAATGAAAACAGACATCCACGTTCATCTCCACGACAATGGGAATGGACAGGTCTTTCACTTAATCCATATTATGAGGGAAATGATCAAGAAGCCATGGTTGATGATGATCGATTTATAATTGAAACATTAGATAAATGGTATTTTGGTAAAGACAATAGTGGAAATATTTTAGATAAAGAGAATATTCACGGTTTATGGGAAAAAATCCGAGTAAGTTTATTAATTAAATATAAACATCATGTACATTTCGATAGATAAATTTACTTTTATTTTCACTGTGTTTATTTGGAATAAGAGTTTTTTCATACAGTAGTATTATTTTTTCATGACAAATAGCTCTATAATATAAATAGAGATAGAAATTAATTGTATCTTTTACTACGACGTGTGTGTGGGTATACATAAGGCTAAGCGTGGATGAAATAGAATACTCACACCCTCGTATTATCCCTTGTATATCACTTGTTAATCTCATTTTGATTTTTCTTAGGCTAATCCTCTATCATCAGGTGTTCATTTAGTAACAGGTGATGGTAGTGTTGATACATCTGGTGATCCAAATGAACAAGAATCCATTGTATCTGAACTTCATTATACAGAAGCTATATGTGCACTGGGTGCATTAGTAAAAGGTGGTTCACTTGTATTAAAAATGTTTAATTTATTTGAATGTGACACAATTTGTCTTCTTTATGTTCTTGCTCTTCATTTTAAAGAATTAAGTATATTTAAACCAGCATCATCACGTTCACCAAATGCAGAAACATATGTTGTTGCTCTTGGATTTCGTGGTATTGATCCTGCTATACTTGAATCCTTACTTTCGTTTGTTTCGGCAACATTTCCATTTGGAAAAGCATTATTATCACGTGATTTAATCCCACAATCATTTCTTAATGAATTAATTCAATTTGCTGATTATTTTACAATGAAACAAATTCAGGCAATTGAAAGAAATCTTGAATTAGAAAAAATTTGGAATAGAAATGTTCAACAAGCTATATTTCAATTAAATGAAGATGTTGTTAGAGAATTTCGCCGAGTATGTTTCATTGATTATAATTATCGGCAGCATATACGTATTGTTAAGAATGTTGTACTTGATGGTTCAGCAAGATCATTAGGGAATAGTGCCTCTGTTGTCAAAGGTGGACTACGTCAAAGATCTGGTGGAACACTTAATGATCGACAAAACAGAAAACGTAATCATGAAGTATATTTATCAAGTAATAATAATGATAATGATAATGATGATATCACTAACGAAATAGAAGAAGAAAATCCAAGCAAGAGACTTAATTTAGGTCAAGGAAAATCTGTTACTATTGGGAGCAAAAATTTAATTGCGCCAATGTCAAATGAAATGGATATAGATTCACCAAATAATCAAGTAGAAGAAAAAGAATCAATAGCTATGAAATTGATGAAAAAAAGTGGTTATAAAGAAGGTCAAGGTTTAGGTATTCATAATCAAGGACGATCAACAGCAATTGAAACAGTTATACTTGATACTCGTCTTGGTTTAGGTCATCATAATCAATTACCAATTACATCGTCATCATTTTCGCCTTTAGATTTACCTAAAGTATTCGATGAACCATTATTTTCAGATTATGATAAATCACAATTAATAAATTTATCTTTTTCATTATCAAATGATAAAAAAACTACTATTGCTCCTGGTTTAAATTCAATCTTATCATCACTTTATATTAAATTTGATGATTTAGAATTATTATATAAAACACGCGAGGAATATTTTAATAAAATTAAAAATAATGAAAAATTTAAAAATATCAGAATCTTTATAAGTGATCAACTTGAATTATTAAACTCAGGAGAAAAATATGGTAATCATGGAAGTTTTATTAATTATCAAATTGCATTTCAATTAGCTTCACTTGATAAAAATTTTAATTTAGTAAGTAAAAATAAATAGATATTAATAAAGTTTTGTAAGAAACATAAAACTATGTTTTTTTTACAGACATCAATTAAGGTAGATGATTCAACACGTTTATCATTTATTATTGAGAATTCAACATTAACTGGTTTTGCTGAATATCTTACATGGCAACAACAAGATGATTTAAATGGTTTTATAATTTCAGATGAAAAATATATATTTCCATTTAATTCATCAATTCATTATAAACCTGATATTGATTCAATTCCTTCAAAAGTTCATTTATTTTTTTCTGATCTTACAATTTTACCATTGAATCAAAAAATTAATCAACGTTATTTAGAAATATATAATAAAAATCAAATGTTAATATCATGTCGAAATGCATTAAACAAACTAAATGAAAATGGGCATTTTGTATGTAAATTAACAGATACATTAACACGTTTTACAACTTCACTTATTTACTTACTTTACTGTTTATTTAAATCAGTTACAATTATTCGCCCATTTACACTTGATCCATCAAGTTCTCATCGATTTTTGGTTTGTAAAGAATTGGTATATCCTGTTAATAAATCAATTATTCAATATTTAGAAGATTTATTACAACATAAACCAACAGAAGATATATTAGAAATAATATCGGTTAAATGCTTAATTCATTCAGGTTTTCAACAATATGTACACAATACAGTTCAACGTTTATTACAAAGAGAAGTGCAAGCTTTACAAAAACGTCTTTACTTTATTAATCAATCAAATCATCAACAAGTTTGATTAAATCATTTTTATGAAAAAGTTTATTTATTTTTTTATTATAGATTAATTCGATGTTAAAAGATGAAGATTTAAAAAAAGCACATGAATATATTACTGTTCCACGTCGTTCTCGAATTCTATGTGTTGAACCTGATTCAGGTATAAAACTACCTTCAGGTTGGATAAAAGAATGGAGTAAAAAAGAAGAACGACACTATTATTTTAATATAAATACAGGTGAATCTCGTTGGGAACCACCAAATTAACAAATACTATTTTATCATTTATTTGAAGGCTTTATTTTTCTTTTAATTAATGTTGTTTGTATCCTACTAAATAAAACTGCTTGAAAAATAAAAAGCTCTCTAATAAATTATAGTTTTGACAGAAAAGTTTTCAAGAAAAAAAATGTAACATACAGTTTGTAGTTATTTTTATTTAGTTTTGTTTGGTAATGAAATATTATTAAAAGTTTATTTATTTTGACCTTGGACAATGAAACTTACAAAAATAGAAGCTTTGTATGTTGCAGTCATGTTTTGATAGAATATCTCATCACTTAAATAGAAAGTATTAAATTAAACTAGTAAGATCTATTGCTGTTAGAATTATTCATTAATATATATATAACAAACATTCTTTCATAAACATTAATGTTAAAAAACAACTTTACGAAGCGTTTTGAAAGTTTCATTATAGTATTTTTCTGTAAAAATAAAATGATTGATGAACTTGTTTGTCTCATTAATTCATTATTTAATTATATTTTATTCGAACAATATTAATTCTTTAAACATATTTACCAATCGGTAATGTTTTGAAATAATAAAACAAAATATGAGAATATTCTTCTTGTTTATTCTTTAATTGTACTGAGAAAATAAAGAAAGTATCTCATTTTGACCTTGGTGTGATCATTATTCTATAAGAAGGTGTGCATAAGGTGTGGTATAGGATGAATATAATATTCAAACCCACACCCACCCGTTTTACTTTGTTATTCGCTCTTCTTGACGTTTCGCAATCACAATGAAATTTTGTTTGCAGTACTATAAATACATGTGTGCGTATAGCGTTTGCATTCTTTTTTTCTAACGACACACACTCCTGTCTGACTATTACTTTTTACCATGGCTACAACTGCTTCGTCTTCAATCAACAGTATTCAACCACAAAATTATGATTATTTTCTAGTACTCGATTTTGAAGCCACCTGTGAAGCAAATCAAAAATTACAACCAAGTGAAATCATCGAATTTCCTGTTCTCAAAATAAATGGTCGTACATTCGAGTGTGAATCTATTTTTCATACTTGTAAGTTAAGATTTATTTCATTTCAAAGAAAATAAATCTCGTCAATTTATCTAGATGTACAACCGACAGTTCATCCTCAATTAACGCGTTTCTGCACAGATCTTACTGGCATTACTCAGTCGATGGTGACTGATCAGCCAATACTAGAAGAAGTTCTTAAACGTTTCCATACTTGGCTCACAGATGAAAATCTTCTTTCCGAATCCACTCGATTCATTTTTGTCACTTGTGGTGATTGGGATCTGTATACAATGCTTCCGAAGCAGTGTAATTATTTTCAACTTTCAAAAGCTGATTATTTTAAACATTGGATTAATATTAAACGATCATTCCACGATGTAGCAGGGTCTACCGAACGTATAGATATGATGGAAAAGTTGAGCGGATTGAATATTTCCCATGCATGACGACATCATAGTGGTATTGATGATTGCAAGAATATTGCCCAAATTTTAAAAACTTCGGCAGAACGTGGTTATTTGTTTAAGGAAAATAGAAAACAATAGCACAAAAAATTTAACATGACTCTATCAAATATATCATTTTGAATATTGTCCGTCGAAATAAATAAATAGATTGCGAACTTTATGTTGAACAAGTATTATTGCTTAGTTCATAGCTGAATTTTGTTGTTTTGAGTCGTAGAGCTGACCGATAGTGTTGATTCATGATCATTGTTGATTCTCGAGTGTATCAATATACATTCAAGACTTTGCATTTCATATACTTATTCTCCTAAGTAACTATTAAAATAAATTTTCTACTTTAATCTTTGATTAATCACAATTTAATTAAGAATGAGGGTGGGTGTGGGTGTGGTTGTGGGATTACAATACTCTACTAACACCCAATCACACCCACACCCACATCCTCACCAAAACCCAGCTCCCATCCACACTTACCATTACCCATACTCACCACCCAGTCTCACCAACACCCAGCTCCCACTCACACCCTTACCCTCACCCTAGAAAAGAAAAGGTAAACACCCACATCCACACCGTCAACTACACGCAACCAAATGCTCACCTGCACCCTTCGTTCCGCGAAATTCATCGTCGGCGAAGAACATTTTCGGCGAAAGTGTAAGTCACCTTTTTCTATCACATTCCTTCTTTTTCATTCATTTTGCAATACGAATTCATTTTAATAACATTACTATGACTGTTCGTATCGTGTCATATAATTTGTTAGTGCCTATTTTTGCTGATCAACCTGAAAGTTTTACCAAATCTCAACGTGAATTTGTCAAAACTGACTATCGATGGAACTTGATTCGAGCTCAATTAGAACAAGAGATTATGCATCACGAAAATACAATCATCTGTTTACAGGAATTGTCTCTTTGTATGTTGCCCAAACTCGAATTATTTTTTCATCAATTGAAGTATAGTTTTTTTAATAATCTTTATGGTCCTCGTTACAGTGATTACATGGGTGTAGGTATTGCAATTCCTGACGCAATACAACTCCAGTCAATATCTTACACTAAAATTGGACAACATATACGTTCGGTCAGTAAACCTCTCAAAAGCCAAACGAATCTTTTTACATGGGTATGGGATCTCTATCAATTTGCTTTAAGTAAATTTATAAAACCGATATCTGATCCATGGGAAACTGCCATAGCTAGAGACAATACTCTCATTTGTTTACAACTTATAATCAATGGGAAACCATTATGTGTTGGTACTTATCACATGCCTTGTCTGTATAAAGTGCCAGCTGTCATGGCGATACATTCATCGATTGTGAAAGATTTAATGTATCAATTCGCAGATGGACAAGATTTCATTCTGGCAGGTGATTTCAGTTTTAAACCGTACGATGCAGAGGGCGTGGCAAATCTCAAAATGAAACCGATTTTGAATAAACTTCTACTTCTGATTTCTAATTTTTACCAGAAATTTATGACACTACTTCATTACAAGTTACTCAGAAATCAGAAGATTACTTCTTAAACTTCAAAACTTTAAAATTTTGAAATTCAGATGTAATATTGAGATATTTGTCTTATCTATATACGGACCTCATCGTTAGAAGCAAAGTAATACTCAGAAGTTTACTTTTTCAATTTTCAGATTCTAGTGTAATATTGACATATTCGTATTAGCTATATAGGGACCTCATTGGTCACAAGCAAAGAAGAAATCAGAAGTTTACTTTTAAAATTTTCATATTCTAGTGTAATATTGAGATGTTTGTATTATCTACATAGGGACCTCATTGGTTAGAACCAAAGTAGAAATCAGAAGTTTACTTTTTGAATTTTAAAATAGTAAAATTCTTCTATTCTGTTGAGGGATACTTGCATGATCTATATGGTGACCTGATTAGTTAGGAAAGAAGCAGAAAGCAGAAGTTTACTTTTTAAATTTCAATTTTTAGAATTGTTCCGTAATATTGAGGGGTATTTGTATCATCTATATAGTGACTGCAACAGCTAGCAGAGAAGTAGAAATCAGAAGTTTACTTTTGTAGTTAATAGTGTCAAGATTGTTTTTTACTATAAAGAAAAGATTTTATGATTTATAGAATGAATTCGTTGGATAGGAGGCTGATAAAAGTCAGTAAGCAGAAGTATACTTTTGTCAGTGTAAAGATATTAATTGATAACAGAACGTTGATGTCGTTCGTATATGATGTGATAGGTTTCTTGTTGTTTATCGGATTAATTTCGGTGAGCGATTGTCGAACTTTCATAAGATCTGGATGCATGATTAATCAACTTTTTTTTGATCTTTTTTATTATAGTCTGCATCGTACAGAATGATTAAGTTTAATAAATATAATTTCTGCGTAAGTAAGGTATAGAATCGTCTTTTTGTTTTCGAGTGCAGAGGCATGATCGAGATCAGTAAAATGATGCAGATTGTTGCAAAAGATTGAGATGTGATGATGAGATTTATTGAGCAAAACGGGTCGCAATTCGAAAGGGTTTCAAGAACAGAACAAGTGTGTGTGAGCGCAGGCGTTTGAGTGGTAACTAGATTTATGACTGCAGAATGTTAAACGGGAGGTGACCGAACAGAATGTCGCGGGATAAATGGTCGCGGACAAAACATCGCATGGAGAAAACGTTGCAACGATAGGCTTTCGTACTGGAGGATGTAGGCTTTAGTGACGATGAGCGTGAGATCAAAGATGAAGGTGAGGACAAGGATATCGTTAAAAAACATATAAATCCATGACCGCACTCACTTGTAAATCTATGTCAAACTCATACTCATCTTCGCACACCGTCCTTCTCCACACCTATGTTCATGCTTGCTGTCAGGTAAAACGAATCCCTGCGGAACTTGTCAGAATCTTGATCTTTCTGAGAATATGACCAGATCGTAAAATTCTTTTGCCACTGGTTCGTCCTAAGCAACTTCAACTACCCTACGTACGGAATAATAATGTGTCTATATTATCATCTGTTGATTAGAATTTCTTTTTTTATTAAAATATATGCTTTATCGTTATTCTGTTGAGAAAGCCTATCGTTGTAATATTTTGTTTATACGACGATTTGTCAAGAGGAAGAGAACGGAATCCTGGAATCCAAAATTGTTTATGGAATCTTAAAGA